GCAATTAAACAGGAAAACGTCAGTACAGAGACAAAGTGGAGTCGCAATTCAACGGCTCAGACACGAGACGTATGTGGCAGGGTCTACAGACAATCACGGATTACAAAGGGAAAACCAGCCACGTCGCGGACACCGACGTCTTGCTCCGGACAAGCTAAACACCTTCTTCGCCCGCTCCCAAGGACTGTGGGCTCTCATTCTCCGTGGCCGATGTGAGTAAGACATTTAAACATGTTAACCCTCGCAAGGCTGCAGGCCCAGACGGCATCCATAGCAGAGTACTCAGAGCATGCGCAGACCAGCTGGCTGGAGTGTTTACGGACATATTCAATCTCTACCTATCCCAGTCTTGCTTCAAGATGTCCACCATTGTTCCTGTACCCAAGAAAGCAAAGGTAACTAAACTAAATGACTATCGCCCGTAGCACTCACTTCTGTCATCATGAAGTGCTTTGAGAGGCTAGTTAAGCAGAGGGCAGACAGAGAATAACATGCTCCCACACTCTTGACCACACACAGAGTGAGAGGAGGGGAAGTCACCAGGAGGGTCAGTGAGCTTAATGACATTGATGTTTTTCTATATAGATAGAAATCAGCATAGTTTGATGCATCTCATTTTAGTATTTCCCCTATATTCATTTAGCCAAATCATTGCCGCCACTCAAAAAAATATATATTTGTTTTAGAAAATTATGTTCAGGATAAAACGTCTTCAGTGTAAACTTAAAAGGCTAAAACCAGATATAAAGTATGTAGAAATTATAATGGAGCTATATATTTTTAAACAAGATCATCTTTGAGAACTAATAATCACCAAAATAATCTTGATCCATTTCTGTTTCCAAAAAGTATATTGATGCTACTCAAACTTGACAGCAAGGGTAACTCTCAAAAGAATCCAAAAGCCATGAGTTTCAATATGCAGTGACTTGACATAGGCTTACTGAATATCATTCATACAATCATGAAATATGTATATCCCCAACTACAAATAAAATAGGAATACCAGTAAACGCAAACTGGATAAAACTCATTACACTGTACTACAGTTGCTAACGTAGCCTACCAGCAAATATGCATGTGGCGTCACTACCGTGTCAAGATGGGCATACCGGTGTTGCACCGGCTGCCATCTACTACCCGGTTTAACGCACGGCCTAGTTAGCTAACTCAATAAATACAGTTAGCATCCCTTTATGGATACCGGGGAGAAGGCCCAACTTAGTTAGCTAGGTTACTACTGTACCCAGCTAGTTTACATTCACTAATACGAGGTAGCAAGAAAATAGTTTTAGGACGATTAGCTAACTACGTTTTGATGGCTACAAAATCTAGTCCACCCAAACCGCAACCCTCTCGTCTCTCACACAATACTGGCCCGAATAAAATAGTTTGCCAATATGTTAGCCGGATTAGCTAGTTACGTGTCTACAGCTGCAAATATGAAAGTGGCTGACTAGTTAGCTAGCTACCGGTAAACCGAACAAAGCCGGTGCGGTGGCCCTCTAGCAGTTAGTTAGCTAACTAGCTACGCCAACTCGTGAAATTGTGTCTAGCCCGCAGTTTCTGATCCCCACACGCACAACAGTTCAAATTGCATTGGCCAATAAAATTCATTATCTGCAGTTTAGCTAAATTGACTAGCTAGCCATTTTAGCAAATTGTCAATAAACCACTAATCTGTTAGCTAGCTAACGTTAGCAAGCTAATTGTCCCCTCCCTGTTCTTGGAAACATCAGTCATTCACCCGCACCCAACCGCTCACCAATACGTTACCTACTAGCTAGTTACCTAAATGTTTCTCCCCCGAATACTTGACCAAGAGATGGCAGGGTTATTCTTGTCAATGAAGGATACTGAGGAGGCGGCAAGGCGTTCGGCTGAGGAGCGCCTGGGGCTCCCGACGGTAAAGACACCGAGGTCAGGGTAGCCCGCAGTTGGCTCGACGGAGACGGGCCAGTTCCAGGTCCACTTACTGCGACAGTGGCGGGTTTTGGGACTATTTTCGCCGGCAAACTCATTGCAAAAAAATAAACAAAAGAAAACAATACACTAATAAATACTGATACAAAATATATCTAGCTTTCATAAATATAGCAAGCGTTGAATATTATTGAAACAGGCCGCAAGTCCTTTTGCCGACAGGGCTAGCTAGCTATTATAGCAACTCAGAATAGCTTTTTTTCATGGAAAGTCGCTGTTCGGGTCTGTGGTGCTATTCATGGGGACGGTGGGAGGTTTGCCTCCCTTGCCCGCCTGGACCTCTGCAGATCCGGTTCAGTTCTTCCGAGCACTATCGCCGGCGTCTTTTCTCCTTCGAAAATTTAACATTTGTTTTCAACGATAGATTTTTCTATAATCATTTTTCCACGGAGATGGGAGACTTCGTCAACATGGCGTTGCGGCCGCTTCCAGTCCAGTAGGACAGATGATTCGGCTATTCTCGTCCAATTACGGGTATGTTCGTCTTAACTACAGCTATAGAAAATGACGCTTGCGTTCATGTGGCCAATTATCTATACTGACTGGCACATAGGCCTACATTCATGTATATTGAGTACTGCATTATTCTTGTTCTAAATAACTACGCTTTATGCTATTTTTAAAGAATGCATGGTATTTATTATTTTAACTGTGGTGGCTGTCTTGAAGTGTGTGTGTAAACTAAACTGTCTCCTGCTATATGTATAGGGTCATTCTCAAGAACCACTCACTGAATAATGTGTATACAAATGTAATCAGGTTCAGGTACTGTAATCTATACACATAATAATGATGGACCGATGGTGTATTTAGAGGCAGAAGGGAACTTTGTAGTAGATTGTACTGTCCTCGGTACTGTATTGTTCGTGTGCAGCGACATCTAGCGTTGATAACCATCAATTTACATGTTATTAATTTAGTTTTAATGTTTGGGAATACAACGGAGGCTCATCATTACATTAAATGTGTCACTATGAAGCCTCAGATGGGCCATCGAAATAGAATGGTGACAACATTTCTATGAGATTAGAACAATTAGAGAAGTCATGTCATGCATGACCAGATACTGAATGGTAAAACTATTTTTGTTATGTGACTTGTTCAATGGTTAATATACTCAGTAGTGTAAAGTACTTAAGTAAACACACTTTAAAGTACTACTTAAGTAGTTTTTTGGGGTATCTGTACTTTACTATTTATATTTTTGCCAACTTTTACTTCACTATATTCCAAAAAATATATATATAATTTTTACTCCATACATTTTCCCTGACACAGAAAAGAACTCGTTACATTTTGACAGGAAAATCGTCCAATTCACACACTTATAAAGAGAACATCCCTGGTCATCCCTACTGCCTCTGATCTGGCGGACTCACTAAACACAAATGCTTCTTTTGTAAATTATGTCTGAGTGTTGGAGTGTGCCCCTGGCTAACCGTCAATTAAAAATAAAATAAAATTGGGCCGGCTGGTTTGCTTAATATACGGAATTTGAAATGGTTTTTACTTTTACTTTACTTTTGATACTTAAGTACATTTTAGCAGTTCCATTTACTGTTGATACTTAAGTACATTTAAAAACAAATACTACTTGAGTAAAAGTCTAAAAAGTATTTTACTGGGTGACTTTCACTTGAGTCATTTTCTATTAAGGAATCTTTACTTTTACTCAAGTATGACAATTGAGTACTTTTTCCACCACTGAATATACTGAACAAAAATATAAACTCAACATGCAACAATTTCAAAGATTTTACTGAGTTACAGTTCATAGAAGGAAATCAGTCAATTTAAATAAATTAGGCCCTAATCTATGGACATGACTGGGCAGGGGCGCAGCCATGTAGAATGAGTTTTTCCCTACAAAAGGCTTTATTACAGACATAAATACATTTGAGGGGCCTTTTATTGTCCACAACACAAGGTGCACCTGTGTAATGATCATGCTGTTTAATCACCTTCTTGATATGCCACACCTGTCAGGTGGATGGATTATCTTGGCAAAGGAGAAATGCTAACTAACAGGGATGTAAACAAATTTGTGCACAACATTTGAGAGAAATAAGCTTTTTGTGCATATGGAACTTTTCTGGGATCTTTTATTTCAGCTTGTGAAAAATGGGACCGACAATTTACATGATGCGTTTATATTTTTGTTCAGTACATCCTTAAGTTTCAGAATGCTCTGATTAAAAAATATATTCAAATATGTCTTATCATATCAGGCATTCAGCAATTCTGTGAGGGTCACTTCCTTACAACACCACTACTGCATATACTGGAGACATTAACCCAATCAGACTTTAAACAAATTATATGATGTAGTGTTAGGTTTTGTTGATGCAGAAACAAGCTAGGCCTACACATATACCTCATTGACCGGCTCAATCATGGGCAATAATAAAATATGGCTTTTACAATCCACTTGTTATGACAGGAATTTGACTGGTATTATACTGTAGATGTGATTGACTGTTTCCTCTGGATTATATCTCAGTCCAAATCCAGGAATTGCAACTCTTGTCATTTTATTTTGCAGTCTAAACATATACAATAACTGAAGACACAACATATAGAGGTGGATTGATTGGATACAAACAAAAAATAAATATCACTCCCTGTAGAAAAATAACGCATATGACAACTTCATAAAACCTGATTGAGAGAAGTTCCCATTCGTTTTCCCCTTTTTTAGAACCATTCCTTTGGTTTCCAGTGTTAAAATTGTCCCTCCTTTATGTGAACATGAAGGCACATTTTCAGAGTTCCATTGGGGAAAGAGAGGCTGATTTCTATAACACATTTTCTTTATGGAGGAAGTTGGGGCTGGCTCAACTTCCAGCTTCAGTCCTCATAAGGACCATGAGAACGGTATAGTCGGTAAGATTTTCAGTGGTATCGAGACCAGTACTCTCCTTCCTTAGAGACTTTACCTCTGCCTCTATTTTGCTCCATGTCCCCAGTGCCCATTTTGCCACCTGCCAGACCGACCAATGTGTAGCTAGGCATCACCAAAGCTCACACTTGTGTTTAGGGTTCATTGGGGCATCTGCCTTGCAGCCAAAGTGCTCGGAGAACTCATGGGAATTGGAGATGGTGCCAATAACTCGAAATCTTGACGGACTGTGTGGATCTGTGATGATGCCCTCATGCGAGCTTTCCGGAGTTCGAACTGAGCACCATACCTACACATAGCAGGAAGCACAGACACATATTATTAAGGATTTTAGAGTGAATAGTCCTTTATTTACATGATCAATGTAATAGGTCATTCAAATTAATACATAACAATGTTGAAGGCAGGCATGCTAGAGAATGCATTACTAAATTTGCCACAGACATGGAGGTACTGTAAGTGGCACAAACCTGGGCGAATCCAACAAAAAATAACTGAAGATTAGTCATCCCCAGGGCGGGCAGTGTGGCCTCCTCTCCATTCTTTGCAATCCAGTTCACATAAGCCTTCAAAGCAGACAAGGGTCATGTTACAGGCATCATGCATTATCCTCCTCTTGCCATAGAGAACAGTAAAACATTTATTTTTATTTTTAAAGAGTCTCTTTCTTGCCCTCAGACCTTCCAAATACTGCATCCCACATTGATGATTCTGAAACGTATGCACATTTCAGTATGCGTGTTTGTAAGTTGAATTGTCAAGTCTACTTCCCCCCTAGCCCACCCTAACAACACCTCCCTATCATACAAACCTTGTAGGCAGCCTTCAGGCCACCATTGTCAGCTATGTTCTCTCCTAAGGTTTGTTTTCCATTGAGGGGTTCCTTGTTGATGCTGTAGTTACTGTACTGCTCCACCATACACTGGGTCTGCTTCTTAAAGGCCTCGACAGACGAGTTCTTCCACCAGGAGCGGAGGTTCCCATCCTTGTCGTACTCCCTCCCTTTAACATAAAGCCAAATATGCTTCAGAAAGGGAGACCTCATTTGAAATCATAATGTGCCATATGTTTGATTGGTGTGATGCTTACAACTCACAGAAATTACAGCCTATAATAATAATACATTATTTTTTTTGGGGGGGGGGGAGTGCGGACATAGTCCCCCACTACCACAAATTATGCAGTAGAGATTCCCACATCTGGGGAATTCGAGGGCCGAGCCTCACCCTGTGTGTACCTCCTTCATGATCAAGGTGTCTCCCCTGCCAGGTACTGTAAGTGTACAGCCTAGCTATAGTTCTAAAATGAGTCTTTTAGTTTGTAGCAAAACTTCTATATTCACATCCTTTTATTCTGAGTCTCCCATATAAAGTAACAAGAGTTAAGACACTACAACGTATATGAAAATACAAAGTCTTACCTTGGTCATCAAAAGCATGTGTCAACTCATGTCCCATAACTACACCAATCCCCCCAAAGTTCAGGGCCCTGGAAATGTATTTAACAGTTCAACAAAATCCTTTCAAGTAAATAAAAGCATTTTATAACAAAGCAATTACATTCTGGGCTATGTGAAGGCACTCAAGGAGACACCACACACATACTGTATACAATTCACGCAGGCACACACACAAATGTGGTGTACTTGTAATTTTGCCTGAGATGGGGAGGTATTAGGGAACTGAAAAGGGAAGAGGGACCTACTTTGGCCATGAGCGGCTATAGAAAGGAGCTTGAAGGATTCCTGCAGGGAGCACCATCTCATTCTTGGTGGGATTATAGTATGCATTTACTGTAGGAGGGGTCATGCTCCACCTGTGTATGCAAGACAAAGGATATAAGACAGACAGGGAACAAAAGCCTGAGATCAGGGTGGCAACCAGTCGTTGACTCTCCCCTATCCCCTTAGCTAGGCTGTTGACTAGAGATCAGTGTGAAAGCATGAGAACCCTAAACTGCTCTCTTATACTATGTATTGAGAGAAAAATATCAGTTCAGCTGAGGGAAATTGGCTGCCGGGGAACGTTTCTGGATGCCAGTAGTATTCCATAGAGTCAGCAGAATGGGAATTTGTACCTGTCAGAGCATTTGACCTCCTCCCTAGAGAGGCGAGCAACGGGGGGGGTTATAGACACTCACTGGTCTCTGTTGGGGGTTTTCCTTAGCTGGTCCGCAGTCACTCTGGCAGAGAAGTTGTAGTACTGCATGACATTTTGAAAATACAGGTCAGACACCACCTCAAACTGAGAAAGAGGGGAATCAGGTTAGGGAGAGAAAGAGGTTTACACACAAGCAATGCAAACAGGAGATACTGTAAATTTGGCAACCCTCAGAACCAGGGTGTCTTACAATAAAATAACATAAATGAGTTGGGTCTTTTTATCAACATATGATGAGACATGGACTTCATAATATAGAAGTATGCATATTCAATGTAATCACATATTTACCTACATCATTGAACACTTTGTCAAGCTCCTTGGGGTCCATTATGAATTTTGGATATCCAACCATGTTGTAAATGGCATCAGCCTATAACAGAGCAGATGAGGTGAATTGAGACAGATGCTAACACCAGATGGCACTGCAGAGTTACTGTTTCACGAGCAGTACGATAAAGCAATAAGGACTATGCTTTCTGTGTCCTGTCTGGCAATCTCTTATGGAATACAATGGAAATGCTATTGCTGCAACATACCTTATGTTAGTTACAAGGGAATAAACTTTTCCGGAGTTGCTAGTCTGTGTAATGACAAGTTCCTTTCCCCAGTAGTGGAAAACATCTTTCTACAACTTAGTCAAAGCAACCCATCTCTCCCACCTTCTCTTTGGCTGCCTTTTTGGTCCCCTGGTCCATCCAGTCCACATACTTCAGGCTGTCCTCAAATGCCCATTTGATCTCAGAGACCATATCTTCTGCCTGATAGACAGACAGGGAAAAGGAAAGGCTTGTCAGAATCTCACCCAGTGGCAGCTCACAGTGGAGGTAGGTAGTGCATGCGTGGGCGATACCTTGAAACACTTACAATGGCCTTGCTGTCCTTAGCGAAGGTGGCTTTGACAAAGAGGGCCCCGAGAGCAAAGCCGAGGGCACTGTCTGTGTCGCTGACGCACAGCTTCCAGCGTGGGGTGCAGCTCTGAAACATCACACCAAACACATGAGAACTATGACACCAAACCACCTATACACAAAAACACTGACATCACCTACACACAAGATAGCACTGTCTCTCAGACTATACCAAACCTATACAAATACTTGAAAACACTGCATGATATCAACCCAGTCTGTAACTGTATTAGATTTTAAAATGCCCCTCAAGCATGAAATAAGTAGTACAGTGTTGCTTTTGAAGAAAAAATATTTCCTTGGAATCCATGACCTAAAAAATATTTCCTTGGAATCCATGACCTAAAAAATATTTCCTTGGAATCCATGGCTATGCCTTGGAGGTGAAGCCTTTATCAGAGTATGTAGGGAGACAGCATGTTCCCCTTTAAAAGGGCTGACTGTTGTTTTTGTAAGACTCTCAGAGATTGGCAACAACAGGACAGCCCTATCGTCCCCAACTTCCTCTCGACTACTGGGAATATTAGAATCCAAACTAAGACTATGCAGACAGAGGAAAGGGGGAAAGGGAGAGGTCAACAGAGTGGAAACAGGTGAGTGAGAGAACGAGAGATAGGAGTAGAGACAGGGGAAACATTGACACAGTGAGTGGGGGGTAGAAAGGGAGAGGTGCTAAAAGTGTTGTGTAGAGGCTTTCAGGAATTGTGCACACCAGTGGAGGCTCCTCAAAGGAGGAAGGGGAGGACCATCCTCCTCAGTGAATTTCATAAAAATAAAAATGGTAAAACATTGAAAAACATTATTTTTAGATAAAACTATACTAAATATATTCACGCCACCAAATAATTGATTAAACACACGGTTTTGCAATGAAGGTCTACAGTAGCCTCAACAGCACTCTGTAAGGTAGCACCATGGTGTAGCTGGAGGACAGCTAGCTTCCGTCCTCCTCTTGGTACATTGACTTCAATACAAAACCTAGGAGGCTATTGGTTCTCACCCCCTTCCATAGACTTACACAGTAATTATAACAACTTCCGGAGGACGTCCTCCAACCTATCAGAGCCCTTGCAGCATGAATTGACATGTTGTCCACCCAATCAAAGGATCAGAGAATGAATGTAGTACTGAAAGCATAAGCTACAGCTAGCTAGCAGTGCAGTGCATGTGGTGAGTAGTTGACTCAAAGAGAGAGAAAGACAATAGTTGAACAGTTTTCAGCAGATTAATTAATTCAAAAATGAAGGAGAAGCAAGAAAGAGGGAGAGAGTGTCATTTTTTTTCAGTTTCAGTTTCACTTACTTAGCTAGCAAATGCAGCTGGCTAGATTAGTTACTCAAACACCCAAATCAAACAGAGGGATGCTATGTTAGCTAGCTGTAGCTCAGTTGGTAGAGCATGGCGCTTGCAACGCCAGGGTTGTGGGTTCGATTCCCATGGGGGGCTAGTATGAAAAATGTATGCACTCACTAACTGTAAGTCGCTCTGGATAAGAGTGTCTGCTAAATGACTAAAATGTAAATGTATCCAACACAACACTGGAACTCTTCCAAGTCAAGGTAAGCTTTTGGATTGATTAAGTTATTGCCACCGGGGCTCACCGGTGTAACTGCTTACTGACTATACACTAACGTTATTGTTTGATTGTAGCGGGTTTACTAATACATTAGTTCTATTACCTGTGTTGACTAGGACGTTACCTTAGCTAATATGGGGACAATGATGTAGGCTGTGTGTAAGCGGTTATGACATAGTTTGGAAAGGTTTTTTCCAAACACATACAGCTGATGTGTTGTTCATTGAAGTCCACAAACGAAGGGAAAAGGTGAGAGGAGGAGAGTGCATAGAGGAGGAACTGTGTTTATGCGTGATCAGCGGTGAATTCATTCTGCCGATTCTGTTGAAATGTTTTTCTTAAAACGGAAGCAAACGAAACAGGGATAAAAATACCTGAATTTGTCCAATAGAAACTCTTGTTTGCAACTGTTGGACTAATCATTACACCCTAGATAAGCTAGATGCAGGCAAGAGTGTGCAAGGCGCTTTTGAATGTGTCACTGTCTGTCCATGTGTTCACTGTCTGTCATCTCAACATTTTCTCTCGACCTGTGTGCACCTACGTTGTAATCTTTCATTTATAGGCTAGGTTGTAGCAAACTCATGATGGGTATAGGGAAAATTTGAGTATCATGTAGTAGCCTAAACCTATCAATGTTACATTGAACTGGGTGAATGGAATATGTATGACAGTCATCCAACATGCTGTAATAGAAATAAGGCCATGCTTATGAAAATAAAAAATAGTCCTCCCTCATCATAAACGGCACTGACCGCCACTGGTGCACACACACGTGCATAAACACACACACAAACTCCCCAGGATGAGAAAGCTCTTGGTATGTTTTGACAGTGTGACCCCAGAGGAAAGCAAGGCCAGGGGAACAGGATCTTTCTCAGATACAGTGGGGGAAAAAAGTATTTAGTCAGCCACCAATTGTGCAAGTTCTCCCACTTAAAAAGATGAGAGAGGCCTGTCATTTTTTATCATAGGTACAGGTCAACTATGACAGACAAATTGAGATTTTTTTTCTCCAGAAAATCACATTGTAGGATTTTTTATGAATTTATTTGCAAATTATGGTGGAAAATAAGTATTTGGTCAATAACAAAAGTTTCTCAATACTTTGTTATATACCCTTTGTTGGCAATTACGTTTTCTGTAAGTCTTCACAAGGTTTTCACACACTGTTGCTGGCATTTTGGCCCATTCCTCCATGCAGATCTCCTCTAGAGCAGTGATGTTTTGGGGCTGTCGCTGGGCAACACAGACTTTCAACTCTCTCCAAAGATTTTCAATGGGGTTGAGATCTGGAGACTGGCTAGGCCACTCCAGGACCTTGAAATGCTTCTTACGAAGCCACTCCTTCGTTGCCCGGGCGGTGTGTTTGGGATCATTGTCATGTTGAAAGACCCTGCCACGTTTCATCTTCAATGCCCTTGCTGATGAGGTTTTCACTCAAAATCTCACGATACATGGCCCCATTCATTCTTTCCTTTACACGGATCAGTCGTCCTGGTCCCTTTGCAGAAAAACAGCCCCAAAGCATGATGTTTCCACCCCCATACTTCACAGTAGGTATGGTGTTCTTTGGATGCAACTCAGCATTCTTTGTCCTCCAAACACGACGAGTTGAGTTTTTACCAAAAAGTTCTATTTTGGTTTCATCTGACCATATGACATTCTCCCAATCCTCTTCTGGATCATCCAAATGCACTCTAGCAAACTTCAGACGGGCCTGGACATGTACTGGCTTAAGCAGGGGGACACGTCTGGCACTGCAGGATTTGAGTCCCTGGCGGCGTAGTGTGTTACTGATGGTAGGCTTTGTGTACTTTGACTGTCCCAAGCTCTCTGCAGGTCATTCATTAGGTCCCCGTGTGTTTCTGGGATTGTTGCTCACCGTCTCTGTGACATTTTGAACTCCATGGTTGGGATCTTGCGTGGAGCCCCAGATCGAGGGGATGTATCAGTGGTTTGTAGTCCTCCTTCCAATCATGCTCCAACATTGAATTTCAAACCAGCTGCGTACTATTGCAGATTACAGATCTCCCACGCCTGGCAGGTCTAACAGATCTCAAGACTTCAACTTATTCTTAGAGGTCCTCTGTCCTCCACCCGTTAGTATAAGGCACTGTTTGAGACTTGTATCAGTATAAATCACCTGCACACCTCAAACATCACACTCCAAACTCCACTATGGCCAAGAACCAAAGAGCTGTTCAAAGGACACCAGAAAAACTTTGACCTGCACCAGCTGGGAAGACTGAATCTGCAATATGGTTATGCAGCTTGGTTTTTGCAAATAGATACATAAAAAATCCTACAATGTGATTTTCTGGAAATGTTTTTCTCATTTTGTCTGTCATAGTTGACGTGTACCTATGATGAAAATTACAGGCCTCTCTCATCTTTTTAAGTGGGAGAACTTGCACAATTGGTGGCTGACTAAATACTTTTTTCCCCACTGTATGTGCCTAATGATGACAGTGACTCAGCTAAAGTATTTCTTATCAGCTCCTTGTTTAATTAAAGGGACACTTTGGGATTTTGGCAGAGGCCCTTTAACTACTTCTCCAGAGTCAGATGAACTCGTGGATACCATTTTTTATTTTTTTATTTGAAGGAAGTTGCTAACTAGTGCAATTGCTAACTAGCGTTGCTAGTAGATACCCACAGACTTCCAGTCATTGCGCTAACACTAGTTGGCATTGGCTCACAAAATTACCTCAAACTTTCTTCATACTGGACAAAGAGACTCTGGAGAAGTAGATAAAAGGCCTCTGCCAAAATCCCAAAGTGTCCCTTTAAGTTCCCCTTTAACGCCACTGACAAGTGCACATCTCATTAAGTTTTATCTATGCCAATTTCTGTTTACAGTTTACTTTATAGGCACATAGTTTCAGCCACTAATTTATTTTTATCTGTGCTATAAGCAAATATAGCTTTACCTCTGACTGAGGCAGCAGGAAAAGCCGGTCCCCCTTGAGTACCCTTATATGTAGGTCTGTTGCCAATTTCCCTGCCAGTTTACAGCCCTGACGCTATCTCCATCTCTCTCTCACCTTCTTGGTTCCGTACATGACTTCAAAGAAGCGTTGCTCAGCATCCTGGAACTTCTTGTCCAGGATGGACACCATCTTCCTCACCACCTTCATGATCATGTAGTTGTTCAGGACACTGCTCAGGTAGGAGTAGATTAAATAATTACACCATTCATCGCATTAACATTTCAGGAAAGGAAGCAAAAGGTTATATTCTATATGTAGTTTGCATAACGTTTTATGATGTCCCCTGTGCTGCTCATATCATATCACTCTCCGAAATCTTGCATAAACCATATCACCCCAATGGTTACCTTAATTACAAAGTGCTGTCCATCAGAATTTTAATATGAATCATGAGTGGAAGGAAGGGATAGGAAGTGATTCTAACCTCTTGTTAGTGCTTGCAATGAGGTCAGAGACCTTCTGGAGGTAGTCCTTGGCGTACACCACCACAGGCTCCGAGTCATTTAGGGGAACAGGAGCAAACACATCCGTGAGGTAGGGCATCCAGTCCACCGCAGGAGCCAAGGTCTACAGACACACACAGAAACAATGATACTGTCAACATCTACTCGTGCACTTCCATCAGATTTGTATTTTTTTGCTTTTTTTAATCAGCAGGTATGAACAGAAAGTAGAAAGAAAGACCTACAGTGAGGGAAAAAAGTATTTGATCCCCTGCTGATTTTGTACGTTTGCCCACTGACAAAGACATGATCAGTCTATAATTTTAATGGTAGGTTTATTTGAACAATGAGAGACAGAATAACAACAAACAAATCAAGAAAAATGTATGTCAAAAATGTTGTAAATTGATTTACATTTTAATGAGGGAAATAAGTATTTGACCCCTCTGCAAAACATGACTTAGTACTTGTTGGCAAAACCCTTGTTGGCAATCACAGAGGTCAGACGTTTCTTGTAGTTGGCCAACAGGTTTGCACACATCTCAGGAGGGATTTTGTCCCACTCCTCTTTGCAGATCTTCTCCAAGTCATTAAGGTTTTGAGGCTGACGTTTGGCAACTCGAACCTTCAGCTCCCTCCACAGATGTTCTATGGGATTAAGGTCTGGAGACTGGCTAGGCCACTCCAGGACCTTAATGTGCTTCTTCTTGAGCCACTCCTTTGTTGCCTTGGTCGTGTGTTTTGGGTCATTGTCATGCTGGAATACCCATCCACGACCCATTTTCAATGCCCTGGCTGAGGGAAGGAGGTTCTCACCCAAGATTTGACGGTACATGGCCCCATCCATCGTCCCTTTGATGCAGTGAAGTTGTCCTGTCCCCTTAGCAGAAAAACACCTCCAAAGCATAATGTTTCCACCTCCATGTTTGACGGTAGGGATGGTGTTCTTGGGGTCATAGGCAGCATTCCTCCTCCTCCAAACACGGCGAGTTTAGTTGATGCCAAAGAGCTCGATTTTGGTCTCATCTGACCACAACACTTTCACCCAGTTCTCCTCTGAATCATTCAGATGTTCATTGGCAAACTTCAGACGGGCCTGTATATGTGCTTTCTTGAGCAGGGGGAACTTGCGGGCACTGCAGGATTTCAGTCCTTCACAGCGTAGTGTGTTACCAATTGTTTTCTTGGTGACTATGGTCCCAGCTGCCTTGAGATCATTGACAAGATCTTCCCGTGTAGTTCTGGGCTGATTCCTCACCGTTCTCATGATCATTGCAACTCCACGAGGTGAGATCTTGCATGGAGCCCCAGTTCTTTTGTGTTTCTTCCATTTGCGAATAATCGCACCATCTGTTGTCACCTTCTCACCAAGCTGCTTGGCTATGGTCTTGTAGCCCATTCCAGCCTTGTGTAGGTCTACAATCTTGTCCCTGACATCCTTGGAGAGCTCTTTGGTCTTGGCCATGGTGGAGAGTTTGGAATCTGATTGATTGATTGCTTCTGTGGACAGGTGTCTTTTATACAGGTAACAAACTGAGATTAGGAGCACTCCCTTTAAGAGTGTGCTCCTAATCTCAGCTCGTTACCTGTATAAAAGACACCTGGGAGCCAGAAATCTTTCTGATTGAGAGGGGGTCAAATACTTATTTCCCTCATTAAAATGCATATCAATTTATAACATTTTTGACATGCGTTTTTCTGGATTTTTTTGTTGTTATTCTGTCTCTCACTGTTCAAATAAACCTACCATTAAAATTATAGACTGATAATTTCTTTGTCAGTGGGCAAACGTACAAAATCAGCAGGGGATCAAATACTTTTTTCCCTCACTGTAGGAGAAGGCACTGTTAATCCAAAAATGCAATCTATGCAAATTAAATACACTTGTTGATTGAGACAGTTCAATCTACTGTATGTTTGTATCTGGTGATACTGCAGGTGGACATGGTGTTGATGTTTGGATCAGCTGAAGGGACAGAGAGACGCAAGTTGGGCTGGTACTGACCGGCAGATCCTTTGCCTGGATCTTATGGTAGATTAGCTCCTCGTCCCTCCTCTCCTCCTGGGGTACGGTGATGTTGGCCAGGGTGGTCTCAAAGTCCACAATCTCCTGCATCAGCGATCTGGACGTCTCCTGTGAGCCCCCCAACAGGACCCCTAACTCCACCAGGAAGTCTAGGTATGCATTCAGATACTGCCAAGACCATGTAGTCAGCACAGAGGGAGAGATGTTGGTTAAATTCAATTAAAAACACAATCCAGCACTAGGAAAATACTGACTATTACAAGCAGAGCGTTATCCCTTGAGCTATACATTCTTTCTCTATTATTTCTTCATTTTCTGTTCAAGTGGGATACTGTAGGGTTTTATACTGCCCCTTTGGTTGTTTTCTATTACTACTAACCAGGTTTCCATCCAACCTTTTTATGCCAGTAAAGTACATGTCGGATAAAAAAATTTTCACAACAGGCCTGATGGAAACAGCAAATTTGTCGACAAAAAAAATGTAGACAAAACCAAATATTGATATAATAACCATCATATCGAAGTAAACGTTGAGTCACGCAATGATAAGTTGTGTGGTCCTTCCACTACGACTCGGGAACGCATGCTGTTTATTAGGCTACAGATTAAATAAGTTACGATGAACTTCACAGGGTGGTGAAAGTGCACAGTGATGAGCTTGATGCTCCTTATTCTAGTGACAGGATGATCAATTCTTGGCTGCCGTTTGACCAATAAAAATAATCTCGCTCTTTTGTCCATAATTATCTCATCATGTAGGCCTCTCAAACTGAACTCTGGACCTCGAAGCCAGTTCCACTGCGTTTTTTCATTGTTCCCCTCTAACCAGGGACTGATTTAAGACCTGGGACACCAGGTGGTGCAATTCATTATCAGGTAGAACAGAATACCAGCAGGCTCCGGAACTCGTAGGGTAAGAGTTGAATACCCCTGATTTAGGCTATACTCGCACTGTATCTGCGAGCTGTTGACTAGAATGCATGTGTCAAGACATTCGCTATATAACATTTGTAGTGACAAAACCATCAGTAGAGTTGAAAATACGATGGAAACCCATTTAACTTGTTGTTTTTTTTAAATTCGGTACATGGAATGTAACCGCATAAGTTATTTTTATGTGCACTACATCGTCACGCATAGCCTTTTATCAGCAACAAGTCAATTTGATGGAAACACATCTCTGGTGGGAAAATTAACATATTATTTTTATGTACATTTTAGAATATTCACCTGAAAATCTGTCGCCAATTGGATGGAAACCTAGCTACTGAAACATAAATATCTAGCGAGATAAGTTTCTCAGTATAGTGTGCCAATTTATAAAGTTAATTTCCTAATTTAATCTGGCCTCTGTATCAAGGCACGGATCTATTTTAAGTCCTCCCTTACCCTGTCTTTCATCATGCTACAATTTTTGCAATTTTTAAGCCCATTCACCCAGTTAAACCCTTAGAGCCATAGTGCAGCCGCCTGTCAGTACCTTTGCATTGGCAGTTTTGTTGAGGTAATAATCGCGAGAGGGGAGCCCCAGCCCGGATTGATCCACCTGTACAGTAGGGTAAGAGGAACAGCACATGACTACCAGCTCACACCCCATTGAAACATTTCAGCGCTCTGAGCAAAGTGAGCCTGTGTCCCCACTGTTGCTTTGACAGTATAGTATTAAAGGATCTACAGTATACTGCAGCTTCGATTAACCATACAATTTCTAACATCTCCTTTACAAGAAAGAGCATGTAAATGTGCATGTACAGTGGGGAATTTTTTTATTTAGTCAGCCACCAATTGTGCAAGTTCTCCCACTTAAAAAGATGAGAGAGGCCTGTAATTTTCATCATAGGTACATGTCAACTATGACAGACAAATGGAGAGAGAAAAAATCCAGAAAATCAAATTGTAAGATTTTTAATGAATTTATTTGCAAATTATGGTGGAAAATAAGTATTTGGTCACATACAAACAAGCAAGATTTCTGGCTCTCACAGACCTGTAACTTCTTCTTTAAGAGGCTCCTCTGTCCTCCACTCGTTACCTGTATTAATGGCATCTGTTTGAACTTGTTATCAGTATAAAAGACACCTGTCCACAACCTCAAACAGTCACACTCCAAACTCCACTATGGCCAAGACCAAAGAGCTGTCAAAGGAAACCAGAAACAAAATTGTAGACCTGCACCAGGCTGGAAAAACTGAATCTGCAATAGGTAAGCAGCTTGGTTTGAAGAAATCAACTGTGGGAGCAATTATTAGTAAATGGAAGACATACAAGACCACTGATAATCTCCCTCGATCTGGGGCTCCACGCAAGATCTCACCCCGTGGGGTCAAAATGATCACAAGAATGGTGAGCAAAAATCCCAGAACCACACGGGGGACCTAGTGAATGACCTGCAGAGAGCTGGGACCAAAGTAACAAAGCCTACCATCAGTAACACACTACGCCGCCAGGGACTCAAATCCTGCAGTGTCAGACGTGTCCCCCTGCTTAAGCCAGTACATGTCCAGGCCCGTCTGAAGTTTGCTAGAGTGCATTTGGATGATCCAGAAGAGGATTGGGAGAATGTCATATGGTCAGATGAAACCAAAATAGAACTTTTTGGTAAAAACTCAACTCGTCGTGTTTGGAGGACAAAGAATGCTGAGTTGCATCCAAAGAACACCATACCTACTGTGAAGCATGGGGGTGGAAACATCATGCTTTGGGGCTGTTTTTCTGCAAAGGGACCAGGACGACTGATCCGTGTAAAGGAAAGAATGAATGGGGCCATGTATCGTGAGATTTTGAGTGAAAACCTCCTTCCATCAGCAAGGGCATTGAAGATGAAACGTGGCTGGGTCTTTCAGCATGACAATGATCCCAAACCCACCGCCCGGGCAACGAAGGAGTGGCTTCGTAAGAAGCATTTCAAGGTCCTGGAGTGGCCTAGCCAGTTTCCAGATCTCAACCCCATAGAAAATCTTTGGAGGGAGTTGAAAGTCTGTGTTGCCCAGCGACAGCCCCAAAACATCACTGCTCTAGAGGAGATCTGCATGGATGAATGGGCCAAAATACCAGCAACAGTGTGTGAAAACCTTGTGAAGACTTACAGAAAACGTTTGACCTGTGTCATTGCCAACAAAGGGTATATAACAAAGTATTGAGAAACTTTTGTTATTGACCAAATACTTATTTTCCACCATAATTTGCAAATAAATTCATTAAAAATTCTACAATGTGATTTTCTGGATTTTTTTTCTCATTTTGTCTGTCATAGTTGACGTGTACCTATGATGAAAATTACAGGCCTCTCTCATCTTTTTAAGTGGGAGAACTTGCACAATTGGTGGCTGACTAAAATCTTTTTTTCCCCACTGTAAATCCTCTCTGAGCAGATCTGGGGATAAGTGATGTTTGATTAATGTTCTACCAAATGTAAATAGGAATGTAAATCAAAAGCTAAATAAGTTAGGAGAAGGCCTGTGGGAGTAGCTGGGCCTAGAGCCACTGTCTGGGCCTGGGGCCACTGTCTGAGCCTGGAGCCACTGGGGCCACTGGCTCTCCTCTCACCTGGATAATATTGCTGTTGGAGCTCTTGGAGTCTGTGCTGACAAACACAGTGAAGAAGGGGGAGCAGTGGTAGTTGGCTGACACAGTGCGTAGAATCTCCTGGAAATTGTTGTTGTCCCAGGAGCCAGTTAGGGCCCATCCTCCCATCTGAAAAATAAAATGTATGATCTCCTTCAGAGAGAGGCTCACTTAAAACCTGAGAGGTTGTGATCCTTAATATCAGGGCAATGGATACATCAAGGATAAATGAAAAAAAAAAAAATGTATGTAACTATTCACATTTACTGTATGTCATAAAGAATACGTTACACATCTATTAGCACATCAAACGTGACATTATAGCTACATAGGGCCATGTCAGACGACTAGATGAGGATGCCTCTTGAGGAGAGAACTCACCTGATTGATGAGCTCCTGTAGAGGCTGAGCCCCTAACTCCTCGATCTTAGTCTCATTCATACAGGCCTTGTAATACCTCTGGGCCTTCTCCTCAGCCTTGCTCAGCCCCTTCATGGTGGTGTTCTCTGCCAAACACAACATGTTTTACAGTTAAGTCTTCTCCAAACTTCTCTTACATAACAATGAAAGGATAACTGTTACTGGCTTTCGTTTTTCCATTTATGTTTTGAGGTTGGACTTCAGCCCGTATAGCTCTTTAGCACGTAGGGCGCACAGATTGGTGACACCTCGTTAGTCAGTATGTGCTACACCTGTGCTGGTTGCCATCTCGTTAGTGGGAAGGTGTTTCACCAGTGCTGGCCCAGGTGCTATTTAAGAGTGACTGGCCCAGTGCTCCAGTTGTCTTGAGACATGTGGAGGGTCATCACCTTTAGTTGGTGCTCAATATTTTGATTTCTAGACAAACAATCCTTTATCTGATCTTCCCTGTTCATTTTGCTCAACTTTTTGGTTTGGTTCCTGTCTTTACGTTTGGTGTGGGTTTTTCTTTGTTAGCCTCTTTTTGGGCAAATGTAGTGGGCGCTCCTGGTGGGTGTCTTTTAGGTCCCAGTTGTTGTTGCTAGTCAACTTTCAGTGGACACCCCCATGAGTGTTTTTCAGAAACCCACCGGTTTCATTTTGGTTGTTGGTCAGTGACTCTTTGTTAGTTCCCCCTTCGGTTTGAGCGAAATGTTTGGTTTTCTTGCTGGGGAACGTAACTATAACACACCTGTAGAAAGAACAGTGAGGCAATAAAGCCTAAACTCACCAGAAGCGGGTGAGCGGAGCAAGCAGAGCGAGGCAGGTGGAAAGGACGGGACAGGCAGAGCAGTAACTGTATGCTAGCAGGATAGTTCATATCGCCAATCATCTTTGCTTATAGCGAGGTTGTTTCCATAAGTGGATAAATTGGTCTAATTTAGCATGTATGGTAAAGCCTCAACCCTAAGCTACCTCTTCCAATTGAAATTAGCTAGAAAAAAGTGAATGACACAATTTTTGTTTTGTGTTACTACAGTGCCAGCAATAAAATGCAAAAAGAGACTCTTTCTAATTGAGCGAGATGTCAAAGCAAACAACCCGCCCAACAATGCATTCTAAAATAAATCACGCATGCTCTACTTTTAGTTTAGGCCATAACTTTTTGCTTGTATTTCTCTAGGTTGTTTAGGGAGAGAGGGGCAGCTAAGGACTCCCTATCCCCTAAGGAGGAACCTTACCTAGCAGGTGCTTCATGACGGCCATGTTGCGCTCCCATAGGTTGCTGAAGGGACCCCATCGGGACTTTCCCTCAGGGAGGGGGTTGTTCCTCACCCATCCCCCACAGGCAAAGTTGTAGAAGTCATGGCAGGGGTCCACAGAGCGGTCCATGGCTCCCATCACAGCACTGGCCACAGTAACGCATGGCTCCGTCCGACACATGCCAGGGTGAGCTGCCAACAGGGAGTGGGACAAGCAGCTAAACATACTGTATATAATATATTTTACAGACACTGCTACTTTAGCCTCAACAGTTGGACAACACTATCTCTTTGCTTAAACAGCTAGTATATTTCAGGGCCTTTAAATAAATCATCCAAAATATATAATGAGATCGAAAACGCGCATGGGTGTTTTCAGACCATCTGGAAACCATTGTTTTCTACAGGTAACTGCCAAAACATAACCTCAGAAAAATAACTTCTCTCTCTAAGCTCTTGAAATAAACAGTGAAAAATAGATAGATGGAGTTTCCATAGAGGAGAGAAGGGCTGCCCCTCGAGAGGTTGTGTCACAGACGAGGTCACTGTCAGTCATTGTCCCACTTTATACAACGGGTGGATCTAAACCTGAATGCTGATGGGTTAAAACCGCATTCCAACCAATGTCTATTCCACAAGTTACCACCTGCTAAATCTATGATGTTGAAATGCCCAGGGGCGCAACTTTGGTTTTAGAAGTGGGGGGGACATACACTACCGTTCAAAAGTTTGGGGTCACTTAGAAATGTCCTTGTTTTACATGAAAACATACATCAAATGAGTTTGAATAGGAAATATCGCAAAATGCATAGAAAATGTAGTCATTGACAAGGTTAGAAATAATGATTTTTAATAGAAATAATAATTGTCCTTCAAACTTTGCTTTCATCAAAGAATCCTCCATTTGCAGCAATTACAGCCTTGCAGATCTTTGGCATTCTAGTTGTCAATTTGTTGAGGTAATCTGAAGAGATTTCGCCCCATGCTTCCTGAAGCACCTCCCACAAGTTGGATTGGCTTGATGGGCACTTCTTACGTACCATACGGTCATGCTGCTCCCACAGCATCTCAATAGGGTTGAGATCCGGTGACTGTGCTGGCCACTCCATTATAGACAGAATACCAACTGACTGCTTCTTCCCTAAATAGTTATTGCATAATTTGGAGCTGTGCTTTGGGTCATTGTCCTGTTGTAGGAGGAAATTGACTCCAATCAAGCGCCATCCACAAAATGGAGTGATAGCCTTCCTTCTTCAAGATCCCTTTTACCCTGTACAAATCTCCCACTTTACCACCACCAAAGCACCCCCAGACCATCACATTTCCTCCACCATGCTTGACAGATAGCATCAAGCACTCCTCCAGCATCTTTTCATTTGGTCTGCGTCTCACAAATGTTCTTCTTTGTGATCCGAACACCTCAAACTTCGATTAGTCTGTCCACAACACTTTTTTCCAATCTTCCTCTGTCCAGTGCCTGTGTTCTTTTGCCCATCTTAATCTTTTCTTTTTATTGGCCAGTCTGAGATATGGCTTTTTCTTTGCAACTCTGCCTAGAAGGTCAGCATCCCGGAGTCGCCTCTTCACTGTTGACGTTGAGACTGGTGTTTTGCGGGTACTATTTAATGAAGCTGCCAGTTGAGGACCTGTGAGGCGTCTGTTTCTCAAACTAGACACTAATGTATTTGTCCTCTTGCTCAGTTGTGCACTGGGGCCTCCCACTCCTCTTTCTCTTCTGGTTAGAGCCAGTTTGCGCTGTTCTCTAGTACACAGCGTTGTACAAGATCTTCAGTTTCTTAGCAATTTCTCACATGGAATAGCCTTCATTTCTCAGAACAAGAATAGACTGACGAGTTTCAGAAGAAAGTTATTTGTTTCTGGACATTTTAATCCTGTAATCGAACCCACAATTGCTGATGCTCCAGATACTCAACTAGTCTCAAGAAGGCCAGTTGTATTGCTTCTTTAATCAGCACAACAGTTTTCAGCTGTGCTAACATAATTGCAAAAGGGTTTTCTAATGATCAATTAGCCTTTTTAAAATGATAAACTTGGATTAGCAAACACAACGTGCCATTGGAACACAGGACCGATGGTTGCTCTGGATAAGAGCGTCTGCTAAATGACTAAAATGTAAATGTAAATGTTGCTGATAATGGGCCTATGTAGATATTCCATTAGAAATCAGCCGTTTCCAGCTACAATAGCCATTTACAACATTAACAGTGTTTACACTGTATTTCTGATCAATTTGATGTTATTGTAATGGTCCAAAAAATTGCTTTTCCTTCGAAAACAAGGACATTTCTAAGTGACCCCCAAACTTTTGAACGGTAGTGTACATTTTTTCAGTTGGATAAACACTCCAAACATCCTACCCGACTGCTCGGAGGCGTCCACATGGTCCTAAAGCACACCGTTGCATTGTTTTGTATCACATTGAAATGTTAAAACTGGGGGGGACAAAAATGCCATTTCAAAATGTGTGTGTGGGGGTGGGGGGGGACATGTCCCCCCCCCATCCCCAGTGAAAGTTGCGCCCCTGGAAATGCATATTTACTCTGTTCCATCTGACTGCGCAATCCACTGTCTCATCAGCCCAGCAAGGCAATTTATAAATTTGATCGCCACTATAAAAAGCATCTAGACATTCTCACATTTCTTTTAGACTAACATTTAGTTTTCAACAGCGGAGATTTGTCTGTCTCTCCGACATTTGCAACATTGTTTCAATATTCAAATTCGATCTCCAGCTGTCCCATAGTAATGAACGTGTCGGGAGTTGGGATGAAACAGAAAGGCAGGCAGCTTTTCTCAGCCAGTCGAAATCATGAATCGGCATCATATTTACGGATATATACAAAGAACTATCAATAGAAAACAGGTCAAACGAAGTGCAGCTAGTTTGCTGTCTTTACAGCTTTGTTTGAAGTGATTGTGTTAGCTGTGTTGTTGGCTAGCTCCTCTGAACAACAGTGTCCTGACGAGAGAGCACATTTTCTACGCCACGCGAAATCACACATCATTAGCTCATTGTTATGGATATATCCAAATAAATGTCAATAGAACACAGCTTAAACAAACACAAATGCAGCTACTTTGTTGTTATTCTGGCTGCAATGTTTGACGTGACTAAGTTAGCTGTAGTTGGCTAGCTAGCAAGCAAGGGATAAGAACATTGTCAGCCAGTATGGCAATGGAACATTTAGAAAGAACGACTGGATACAGAACAAAAAGGTTGTGTCTCTGGCAACCGAACCGATAGAACGAACGACCAGCCGGCTTGGGTAGCAACCCTAGATTTGTGTCGGGACTATATCTTGTGGAAGGTTCAAATAGTATGAATAAAGTTATCAAAATAACATTAATGAAAATATGTAAATTATTATTTGAATATGTTGGTAACCCGTTGTATAAAAATGATATTGCCCTCGAAGCTGGTGTTTGGAGGATATATTGGCACGGTTTGTATTCAGACCCTTTACTCAGTACTTTGTTGAAGCACCTTAAGCAGCGATTACAGCCTCGAGTCTTCTTGGGTATGATGCTACAAGCTTGGCACACCTGTATTTGGGGAATTTCTCCCATTCGTATCTGCAGATCCTCTCAAGCTCTGTCAGGTTGGATGGGGAGCGTCGCTGCACAGCTATTTTCAGGTCTCTCCAGAGATGTTCAATCAGGTTCAAGTTCAGGCTCTGGCTGGGCCACTCAAAGACATTCAGAGACTTGTCCCGAAGCCACTCCTGCGTTGTCTTGGCTGTGTGCTTAGGTCGTTGTCCTGTTGGAAGGTGAACCTTCTCCCAGTCTGAGCTCCTGAGTGCTCTGGAGCAGGTTTTCATCAAGCGTCTCTCTGTACTTTGCTCCGTTCAGCTTTCCCTCGATCCTGACTAGTCTCCCAGTCCCTGCCGCTGAAAAACATCCCCACAGAATGATGCTGCCACCACCATGCTTCACCGTAGGGATGGTGCCAGGTCTCCTCCAGATGTGACGCTTGGCATTCAGGCCAAAGAGTTCAATCTTGGTTTCATCAGATTAGAGAATCTTGTTTCTCATGGTCAGAGTCCTTCAGGTGCCTTTTGGCAAACTCCAAGCTGGCTGTCATGTGCCTCTTACTGAGGAGTGGCTTACATCTGGCCACTCTACCATAAAGGCCTGATTGGTGAAGTACTGCAGAGATGGTTGTCCTTCTGGAAGGTTCTCCCATCTCCAGATGGTTCTTGGTCACCTCCCTGACCAAGGCCCTTCTCCCCCGATTGCTCGGTTTGGCCGGGCGGTCAGATCTAGGAAGAGTCTTGGTGGTTCCAAACTTCTTGGATTTAAGAATGATGGAGGCCACTGTGTTCTTGGAGACCTTCAATGCTGCAGAAAGTTTTTGGTTCCCTTCCCCAGATCTGTGCCTCGACACAATCCTGTCTCAGAGCTCTACGGACAATTCCTTTGACCTCATGGCTTGGTTTATGCTCTGACATGCACTGTCAACTGTGGGACCTTATATAGACGGTTGTGGGTGTGTGCCTTTCCAAATCATGTCCAATCAATTGAATTTACCACAGGTGGACTCCAATCAAGTTGTAGAAACATCTTAAGAATGATCAATGGAAACAGGGTGCACCTGAGCTCAATTTCGAGTCTCATAGCAAAGGGTCTGAATACTTATGTAAATAAGGTATTTTTTATATTTATTTTTTCTATACATTTGCAAACATTTCTACAAACGTGTTTTCACTTTGTCATTATGGGGTATTGTGTGTAGATTGAGGATTTTTATTTATTTAATCCATTTTAGAATAAGGGGTCTGAATACTTTCCGAATGCACTGTACCTGTCACACCTGAATGTGCTCCACAGGTGCAGGGTATCAATCACCCAGCCAGGCCCCTCTCTCTGGGTTCCCTCACTCATGGACAATGCCGCAGCACGGTTGGGGAAAATTCTCAGCAGGCCATTGTCCGTTGCTGCCATTCTAAGATGGGCATTTGTTGGCTTTGACGTGATTGGCATATATTTAACTGGCTGTGGAAGCAGGAGTGTAAACTGAGCTCACTGAGTATTCTTTCCCTTTCACTGGACTGAAAGGTGATGGATAACAATTTTGTTAGAAAGTTCTCTGGAATTTGGGACTAGTTGCAAAAGCTGAGGGACAGCCCAGGGGCATTTGGCAACTCCCTTTGTGTTATTTTGGGAAAGGATGTGGAAAACATGTTTATATTTTTAGAGGGATAACAATTCATAACCCAAAGTCTAGTTAGTGCATTCTCATTCTGTCTCATGTTTAAGGCTGTTTTTTTAGGACAATAAGTTTAGTTTTTTAATCAATGATTAAAATTATAGCTGAATAAAAGGAGTGGAAAGGTGAATGGTCTAGTAAAAGCACATAACAGACGACAGTGATTTGTCGTGTGGGCTGATAGGTGGTTGAATATGAGGAAGTGGCATTTGGTTCCCTTTTCAAAAAACAAGGAAATTAATACTGAGCTGAGAAAATACAGACGGTACAGTAAAGATTTGTACCTTAGAAAATCTTGGCAGATTATATGAACATGAAGGAGCAACCCTAGGTTGTGTTTGGTCAATTCTCTTCTCAGGATTATTTAGCCAAATCAGGCTTAATAATCTCAGTCACTCACTCTCTTTGTAGAAGATCCCGACAGTGATGAGCGAGAAGAACAAGGCAACAGACAGTGCACACACTAGGACCAACAGCCTCCGCTCAGTGTGTGTCTTCTCAGCCCAACACCTGGGACCAGGACCATGTCGCAGTGTCACCTGTACACACACACTGCAATGAGCACAGGGCACCACAGTGTCATCTCCATAGATACACATACACTGGTTATGTGAGTAAAGGTTACAAAGATTGGTACACAAGTCACCCTTAACCACAGTACTCAGGCAAACAAACCACTATGTTCTATGATCCTATGATGAATGGTATCCTCTGTCTGGTCAGAGATGATACACTCAATACCACAGAGGCACTGGGGCTAGTACTGTGTGAATGTCCTGGTTATGGTTGAAATGACTCGCATGGTTTTAATAACAGATTATATACCATATCGCCTTTCAACACCCCTCTATATGAAGGTAATGTATTCATCTTTTGTTCATTCTTTTCTAGTTCTTCAGAAGGTATCATTAAAATGCATTGTGCCTCTGTCCCAGATAACGGGAAGGCAGAGCACTAACCACAATGGATGAACTACGACATTGTCATGTTTTTTAACTGAAAGAGCCATCAGTCAGAAAAATAAAAACACAGGCCCCACAGAAAACATGTCATTATTATCCATGGGAAACTGTGAAAACGATTTGGCCTCGTTTTTCAGCTTGGTCATTAAGAAATGCAGCAGCCATGACTGAATCCAAACAAGAGTGGTCTTGGGGGGATGGTTTAATGTGGGTGTCTCTTGTGTGTGTGTGTTAGCATGTGTCAAGCGTTTGTACATTCACTCTGCCTAAACAGTACACAGTCACTCACCCTTCCAGATAACTTGAAACAGTCTAACCAGGCCTTGTGTCTTGAAGTCGCCATTTAGCTTCAGCCAGCTGGTGCGCAACCATGGCAATGTTGGTTTGACATTGGAGAGCCTATCTCTGGGGGGACCATCAATAAATTACACTATGTAAATGGAACAATATTTTCATGTTGCACATCTTTTAGTTGTATCATTAAAAACTTTCAATATTTCTATATGAATTTCTACAATTTATAGTTGTTTGAGGTTTTTAAGTCATATAAATGTTGAGCTATTGACATTTTAAAATATTGTCCTATGTCATTTACTGATGATCCCTAACTAGCCCCATAGGGATATCGAATGTCAAACCAAATTGACCATGGGCATTACCCGATAGGTCATGTGCAGCTGCTCTCCGAATTGATGATTACTTGTGTGCTGCCAGCTGTGGGCAGGATTGAAATAAACCCAACCCAAGGAAAACTGCTACGGTACCCTTCATTCCGTGACATACCATTTTTTCCCCCTATCTCGCAAATCTCCATTTTGGACAAGACTGACTATGACCAAAAGTCTCCTATTTACACTTTGTAGTACATTTTTACACTATAATAAATGTATCTGACTCATATCGATACCACATAGGCGTTTTCAAAACAAGAAGTTGCTTTTTAGGGGCAGTCGCTCTTAAACTACATTTATAAAGCAGTAAACTTTTCATGTTGGTCCTTCTTTTGTTATTGTGTACATAGGCATTCATTGGTGATAAGAAGCTTATTTGGGCGCAGGATCTGCTCAATTACTGTAGGAATTAGTGTGGTTTCCCCTGACTTTGAACTTTACACACCCTGTGAAAACCAATTATCCCAGACCTGTTAAAGAATTAGATTTAGTCCCATTAGCTAAGGCAAGAGTTCAAATGTCACACTGAATGTGAGCAGCCCTGGTGCCAAAGCCGCAACAGGCTTCCTAATCCTTCAGACTTTGATTTTTTACATTTACATTTTAATCATTTAGCAGACTTACAGGAGTAATTAGATTTAAGTACCTTGCTCAAGGGCATGTCGGCAGATTTTTCACCTAGTCGGGTTGGGGATTCGAACCAGCAACCTTTCGGTTACTGGCCCAATGCTCTTAACTGCTAGGCTACCTGCCACCCCCACTTTCAGAGGTTTGGGTGTTTAAAAAAAACTTTAATCTGTATTTCTGTGTGCAATTGAGAAGGTACTTCTGCCAAGTCAGTGTGGTTGAGGTCTGTGCTTTATCGCAGACTCTCACAGTAAAAACCACTGCACAATGTGATGGTAGAAAAATAGTTTTTTTTATTAAACGTTCTGGATATGTTATTTCTCCTCTTAGCCAAAGGAAAATATGTTAGGAATGATATGATTTCAGAGGAAGCTCAGATTCTCAGCAGGAGGAAAAGAGCTGGCTGAAGTAAAATGGAAATATTTAACCCTATATATTTAATTATCTAGTATAACAGACTTCTAGCCAGACATGTGTGAAGCCATTGACTCAGACAGCGCAGGTCCAATGTATAACCTGTTATGATTCTCAGTTACGTAGCTACTGTTGTTGCAGCCTCTAAAAAGTTAGGCAACAGTGTCTTCAATATACCTTTATCTACTGATACGTTTGTCAACATTCCACAGTAGGTGCAGTGTGTTGTTCTGCTTTCTCCCACTTAATCAGTTGTGGATAGTGGATATACGCTATATATACAAAGTATGTGGACACCCCTTCAAATTAGTGGATTCGGCTAATTCAGCCACACCCGTTGCTGACAGGTGTATAAAATCGAGCACACCACCATGCAATCTCCATAGACAAACATTGGCAGTAGAATGGCCTTACTGAAGAGCTCAGTGACTTTCAACGTGGCACCATCATAGAATACCACCTTTCCAACAAGTCAGTTCGTCAAATTTCTGCCCGAGTAGAGCTGCCCTGGTGAACTGTAAGTGCTGTTATTGTGAAGTGGAAACGTCTAGGAGCAACAACGGCTCAGCCGCAAAGTGGTAAGCCACACAATCTCACAGGACTGCCGAGTGCTGAAGCACGTAAAGATAGTCTGTCCTCGGTTGCAACGCTCACTACCAAGTTCCAAACTGCCTCTGGAAGCATCGCTAGCACAAGAACTGTCGTCGGGAGCTTCATGAAATGGGTTTCCATGGCTGAGCAGCCGCACACAAGCCTAAGACCACCATGCGCAATGCCAAACGTTGGCTGGAGTGGTGTAAAGCTCGCCACCATTCGACTCTGGAGCAGTGGAATCGCGTTCTCTGGAGTGATGAATCACGCTTCACCATCTGCAGTCCGACGGACAATCTGGGTTGTCGGCGTATGCCGAATGTGCACTTTTGTGGTTTTCAAGTACATTTTCAGACTGAAGTGAGCTTCAGTTCTCAGCATAATGCCTACTACTGTATGTGGAAGAAGATGGCGCTGCAGTGGATAGCTGCCGTCTTACGGGCTCCTGACCAATTCTGCTATTTTGTGTGTTTTTTATCCTGATCTTATCCTTTTTTTTGGTTAATATTTCCACCATCATTTCCTATGACCGAAAACCACTTCTGGACATCAGAACAGCGATCACTAACCTCGATTTGGATGAAGATTTCTACTTCAACAAGTCGGCAATGTACTGCTCATTCCGGACCAGGCCCTAATCCCCGGGACTTGAAAGAGGAAGATACGGCGCAAGAGAGTTAAACAAACGGGCTCCCTGACGAGACTATGTTGGCAAGTAAATAAACCGCCTCTACCCTACAATCACTAGAGAACAAGTTGGATGAGCTCCGTTCGAGACTATCCCATCAACGGGAGCTGAAGAACTGTAATATCCTATGTTTCTTGGAGTTGTAGCTGAACAAGGAAATGGATAACATACATCTAGCTGTTTTTTCTATGAATCGTCATGACCGAACAGCAGCTTCGGGTAAGGTTAAGGGGGAGGTGTGTGTCTCTTTGTTAACAACAGCTAGTGCTGATCTCTAATGCTAGTGCTGATCTCTATTGTTAAGGAAGTCTCAAGGTTTTGCTCGCCTGAGTTAGAATACCTCATGATAAGCTGCAGACCATACTATTTACCAAGAGACCATACTGTTTACCAATATTTTTTGTAGCTGTCTATTTACCACCACAAACTCCTTTTAATTTTTTATGCAGGGAAACTGAAATCCGTCTTAACTAATTTTTTATTAGCTTATCACCTGTGCAACTAGAGGCAAACATACTCTTCATCCCCTTTAGTCCACACACAGAAACGCACACAAAACTCTCCCTCGCCCTATCTCTATCCTCCTGATTCCTGCTTACAAGCAAAAACTCAAACAAGTGGTCAGATGAAGCGTATGTTAAGCTACAGGACTGTTTCACTAGCACAGACTGGAATGTGTTCCAGGATTCATCCGATAACATTGAGGAGTTTACCACATCAGTCAACGGCTTCATTAATAAATACATCAACGACGACGTTCCCACAGTGACCTTATGTACATATCCCAACCAGAAGCCATGGATTACAGGCAACATCAGCACTGAGCTAAAGGCTAGAGCTGCCGCTATCAAGGAGTGGGACACTAATCCGGACACTTATAAGAAATCCCGCTACGACCTCCGACGAGCCATGAAAACATCAATACAGGACTAAGATCGAATCCTACTATGCCTGTCGGATGTGGCAGGGCTTGCAAACTACCACGGATTACAAAGGGAAACCCAGCCGCGAGCTGCCCAGTGACACGAGCCTACCATATTAGCTCATTTCTTTCTATGCTCGCTTCGAGGCAAGCAGCACTGAACCATGCATGAGAGCACCATCTGTTCCGGACTAATGTGTGATCTCGCTCTCCGTAGCCAATGTGAGTAAGACCTTTAAACAGGTTAACATTCACAAGGCTGCAGGGCCAGACGGATTACCAGGACGCATAGTAAGAGCATCTTCCCTGAAATGTTTAACCTCTCCCTGACTCAGTCTGTAATACCTACATGTTTCAAGCAGACCACCATAGTCCCTGTGCCCAAGAACGCCAAGGTAACCCGTCTAAATGACTATCACCCCGTAGCACTCACATCTGTAGCCATGAAATGCTTTGAAAGGCTGGTCATGGCTCATATCAACACCATCATCCCAGACACCCTGGACCCACTCCAATTCGAATACCGCCCCAACAGATCCACAGATGACGCAATCTCTATTGCACTCCACACTGCCCTCTCCCACCTGGACAAGAGGAACACCTACGCCAGAATGCTGTTCATTGACTATAGCTCAGCGTACAACACCATAATGCCCTCAAACTCATCACTAAGATCAGGACACTGGGACTGAATACCTCGCTCTGCAACTGGATCCTGGACTTC